AAGGAATGTGGGAAGGCTTTTAGAGTACGGCAACAGCTAACACTCCACCAGAGAATTCATACTGGTGAGAAACCCTATGAATGTAAGGAATGTGGAAAGACCTTTAGTCGTGGTTATCATCTTATTCTTCATCACAGAATTCATACTGGTGAGAAACCTTATGAATGTAAGGAGTGCTGGAAGGCCTTTAGTCGTTACTCACAACTTATTTCACATCAGAGTATTCATATTGGTGTTAAACCCTATGACTGTAAGGAATGTGGGAAGGCCTTTAGACTACTCTCACAACTTACACAACATCAGAGTATTCATATTGGTGAGAAGCCCTATAAATGTAAGGAATGTGGGAAGGCCTTTAGGTTGCGCCAAAAACTTACTCTACATCAGAGCATTCATACTGGTGAAAAACCCTTTGAATGTAAGGAATGTAGGAAGGCCTTTAGACTTAATTCATCCCTTATTCAACATCTGAGAATTCATTCTGGTGAGAAACCCTATGAATGTAAGGAATGTAAGAAGGCCTTTAGACAACATTCACACCTTACCCATCATCTGAAAATTCATAATGTTAAAATATAAGAAAATCTTTTTGTTCTGTGTTGTAGAACACTCTATGAATGTACTAAGTAATCCCTTTTGCTTCATACATGTAATTGACTTGGCGTAAGAGGTTTTATATCTTAAAAGAATAAGTTAATTTAATATATTCTACCATCACTCAAACCTGATGAACTTCACATTCATTCTAAAAACTAATCCTATTAATATAACAAATGTGGGAAAGACACATTGTCATCTCTATCCCATTACTTTCCTACTTGTGTTATATTGAACAAGGTGATTAACTGCTCTGTGATATAAGTTATTCATTTATAAAATGGTACTATAATACTGCGGCAGAGTAAAAATTGCTGCAAATTCATTGACACTCCTCCCATTAAAAGGTGGAATCCCGGGCCAGCCCTGTGGCGTAGTGGTTAAGTGCACACATTCTGCTGCTGGTGGCCTGGGTTCGGGTCCTGGGTATGCTCCAATGCACCACTTGTCAGGCCATGCTGTGGCGGCCATGACATATAAAGCCATGCTGTGGCTTCCTCGCATATAAAGTGGAGGAAGATGGGCACAGATGTTAGCCCAGGGCCAGTGTTCCTCAGCAAAAAAAAAAAAAAAAAAAGAGGTGGAATCCACATCCTTTACCCTTGAATCTGGGCAGACTGTGACTTTGACCAGTAGAATATAGTAGAAGTACTGCTGTGACAGTTCCTGGACCAAGGCTTTACTGGTAGATTTTACTTCATCTCCTGGAATACTCTCTCAAGTTCAGACCTTGAACTGTTGTGTTGAACAGTCTGGCTACTCTGCTGAAGAGACCACATGGAGAGGACCTGGGACTGCATAGAGAGGGAGAGAGACACTCTGCTGAGTCCAGTCTTCCAGACATGCCCAAGACATCAAACATTTGAGTGAAATAGTTTCAGTGGCCACCAGCTGGATGCCACCAAGTGACCTCCGCTGACGCTATACAGAACAGAAGAATCGACCAGATGAGCCCCTACCCAAATTCCTGACCTGCAAAATAATGAGATATATTAAAATGGTTGTTGTTTTAAGCCACTAAATTTTGTTTTTTATTATTATCATCGTTAATATTACTCTTTTGAAAATTCCTATAAAACACTATGGGCACAATGAATATAGAAGTGCCCTCCACCAACAGTCATCCTTATTGAATTTCAGATAACTTATTCTTGTTAAAATAGTGAAAGTAAGAAATGCTTTTTCAGATTGTTCATAAAAAAGCAGATATTCTACAATCTACATTCTCTGGCCCCAGACTAAATTTAATTTAAAACTAACAAAGGATAACAAAAAGAACTATTTGGGAATTTAAGATCACCTGTATTATAATTCCTGCAATAATTATTTTTAAATCCATTGTAGCCTTTTTTTTTTTTTTTGGTGAGGAAGATTCTCCCTGAGCTAACATCTGTTGCCAGTCTTCTTTTTTTGCTTGAGGAAGATTAGCCCTGAGCTAACTTCTGTGCCTCTGCCTCTATTTTGTCTGTGGGTAGTCACCTCAGCATGGCTGACAAGTGGTGTAGATGTGCCCCTAGGATCCGAACCTGTGAACCCAGGCCACTGAAGTGGAGCACGCTAAACTTAACCACTACACCATGGGACCAGCCCCCGTTGCAGGCTTTTTTTTGATGCTCAGATTGTCCTATCTTTGGCCAATGGGAATTTCCTCAAATTGGGTCCTGTGTTCTTTTTGTCATGACCGCTATAGCCTTTGACAGCTGCTTTTTCTGACCAAATGCATTGGTCAGCTCTGGACCACATTAGGGCATTTATTGATCAATAAAGGGGGAAAGTGGAGCATTTTTCTTGCCTTTCCTTTATGAACTATGTTTTAAGACAACCAAAAGTTGGTGAAGGACAGTTCTTTATTATTAGAGAATTCTAGCTAATAAAGGTGAAAGGAATGATAGAATTTGAAAAATCACACTTTTTAAATTTATGAAATAATGAACCTTGGTGGTGATACCAGTGGATGTGAAGACCATTGGGTGAAAGATTGATAGGAAGCCTTTTAACAGATGGAGTACAATGACAATACCCACTAATCTGTATTAACATCTTTAAATTAGATCAGCCAGGCTCTGTGCTTCTTGATGTGATGCAATGGATGTACACAGCACCACCTGTGAAGTATTCTTGTCCAAGATATTGATCCTGAAGGATAATTTAATCTCTAAAGGTAATTACCAGTTTACAGGAAATGGAGATTAAAGAAATTAATAACACAAAGAAGCAAACAACCAAATCCAGAATGTGGGAAATTCCACATAATAAATGGTCTAGTTTTTTAAGCAGTATATGTCAAGACAAAATAAAAACATAATCTTACAAGTTAAAAGAGACTTAAGAGACATAACGATTAAATACATTACATGGAATTTACTGAGATCCCTGTGTTAAAATGTACTGAGAATTTGTTTTAATCAGGTGTGGTTAGACATGCGGACACGGAAATGATTGTCGTGAAGGAAGAAGTTTATACTCCGAGATCCCTAGAAATAGCAGGCACCACGTGCCACGCAGGTCCACGTGGGGAACACTCAATTCTTTTGGGAGGGGGAAGAGGGGAGAGGGCAGAGCATGGTTCAGAGCCTTTACTGGAGGTTTCCTGTGAAGGAAGGGATGGGTACTGGTTAGGTACACTGAGCGAGTTTAGGATTGGATGGTTGGAATAATTTTGGTGGGCTCTGACCTATAGGGGTAGTCCCTAGTTGTCCGGTACCTGGGGTGATTTAGGGCAGGGGGAATATTGGCTCGGTGTGTGAGAGTTTGATAAAGGAGATGGTCGGGGGACGGGGGTATCATTTGCTGCCTCTGGGAATTTGCTATCCTTGAGAGGGGTAGTCTTTCCAGGATCAAGTCACCAAATGCCAGAGCATCAAGAATACAGAAAATATAGTCAATACAATCCTGATTTGGACAAATAAGTGAAAAATTTTTTAGATTATTGTGAAAATGTAAACCTAGAGTGAGTACTAAATTATATGAAGCAGTTATTGTTCATTTTCATAGGCATGATGATGGCATGGGTGTGGGAGTGTGTACGTGTGTGTAAGTCCTTATGCATTAGAGATCTATACTGAGGTATTCAAGGGTGAAATCACGTCACATCTATGATTTGCTTTATAATACTTCAGGAAAACAAAAGGTGGGAGTGATAGATGAAACGAGATTGGCAAAATGTTGCCAAGGGGTCGAAGCTGGATAATGAGTGCATAGGATTCATTGTGCTATTCTTACTACCTTTGCATATATTTGAAAATTTCCACAGTAAAGGTTTTTTTAAGTAGAAAATCAAATCTGAAATTTTGGACTACTTAGTGATAAATGATAATGTGGTGCCTACAAATAAAAATTTGTAGCAAATCACCAAAGCTCTATTTAATAGAAAATTAATCACCTTAATACATTTAGAAAACCTGGTTTGAGGAACTAGTTTGTCTTGTTTACCACTCAGTCTCCACACCTACGGTGCCTATCATATAACAGGCAATTGATAAATGTGTTGAAAAAAATAAGCATTAACTTAAGCTAGAAAATAATTTTTTTAAAAAACTAAGGTAAGTAGAAGGAAGTAATTCATACAATAAAAATAGAATAGTTAGTAAAACAGTAGACTTTATCCACAGGTGTTCTTTTTGAAAAGACCGTGAATATAGAATTGGCAGTTATTATTGAGGAAAAAAGCTGCCTCAGTACAGCTTTATTTATGGGAAAGGTGAAATAGCTACCTATATCAAGGAGAATTAAAAGTTTTTAAAGTTATATGTGTATTACTATATACATATATTTCAATATGTATAAAAATACAGAGAATGAATTATCTAAAGAAACCTAAATGATCTAAGTTCAAGATACTATAGAAAACCTGAATAGATCTATAAACAAAGGAAAAAATGTAAATGTAGTTATGATCGTGTTTTTTAAAAACTAGATTCAATAGTTTTGCAAGCCATAAAAAGTTTTAAAGAATAGATAACCTCTAACAAATTTTTGCCAGATCATTCTATAAGGCAATATCCCAATAATAAAATTGGAAGAGGATAACCCCTAAAAAGCAAAATCGGGACCAGTATCACTTAAGATACAGGCAAACATTCTAAATAAAGTTCAATAAATTGAACTCAGTAGTTTATTAAAACAATTATGAAACATAAAACGATCTACCAGGAATATCCAGGGGCCTGACCTATTGTGGTTTAATTAGGTATTCAGATTTTAGGTTTTCTAACTTGGGCAATGTAACAATGTTGGAAAAAATGAAAATGAGCCAGCCCCAATATCTTCTAGAATGTTTCTCACTCTCGATTATCTTACCTTCATCAACTTTATAAAAGGAATAAACAATAGATATGAAAAATAGGCATTCAACACTTAAAAATTATTACCTTCCACAAAGTAGAAATGAGTATTGCCACAACACTTCGTTTTCAACCAAACCTGTAATGTTGCTGTAGGCATACATTAAGACTTGTACCTACAAGTCCATTTTGCTCCGAGTGGGCAGATTGGGAAGATGCATTGAATAATCATTCATCATCTAGAATAATACATTTTTCCCACTCATGATTTCAAACTGTTTTTAATTTGTAAACAGTACATACAATGTTTACGCAAAAATGTAACATAAAAAAAGTCTTTTAAGTGCTATAATACAGTTAGTTTTTGCTAATAAGTCAATGTGTTTCTCCTCCATGGTTACATTTTCATGTAAACAGAGGTCTTCTGGAGACAGCACATTAACTCAGAATTTCTGAGACCGTGTTCCACAAAACAATAGTGCTTAATGGTACTTGAAGAAAACGAAATTGTGGCCAAGCAAGCATGGAGCTCTGTATACTGTATTTCTTGGGAAAAAATTATTCACACTAAGTGCCTATCAAAAGACTATCAAAGAAATGTTTCATTTTGTCTAACCCAGTGTACGTCAGACTTCACTAGAGAATTCCCATTCCCAATACCTATTGCAGGTGTGATTCCACTCGGGCGGATGTTGCCGTAACCAGAAGGAGTGGCTTCAAGGATGGAAATGTCCTCGTTATGGCAGGTGTGTGCTTACCTGTGTGGTGAGGAAAGCAACTCACATCATGCTGTCCAGTTGTTAGCTACTTGCTTTTTCTTAAAATTTAAAATGGTGCTTTTCAATAGAGTAGAAAGCCTCAGCCCTATTCTTTATATAAATACACTATATATATTTAGACCTTTTATTGGTCAATATTTAGGTTATATACAATTTCTCACTGAAAAATATCTTATAGATATGTGTGTTTCTTGCTATACATAAGCAAGAGTTTCTCTGAGGTATTTACCAAAAAGTGGAATTGTTCAGTCAGATTGTATTCACTTTCAACCTCACTAGATAATGCCGTGAAAGTGGAGAGCATCATTGTGCCAATTTACAACCCTTTCAACCAGTGAAATATTATTTCCTTATATCCCCACTTCTGGTATGTGCTTTAATATTTTTGTGGTTAATAGTGAGTTGAGCATCTTTCCACATCTCTTTATTGCTAAATACTGTAACTTGCCAATTCATGTCTTTTGCCCATATTCCTTTTTTTAAGAACATTCATGTAAGAATTGTGGGCTTAAAAATAACGTTCTAGTTAGTAATTCTTTACTTAGTAATGTAAATGATGGACTTACCTTCTCCCAGATTGTGGCTTATGTCTGTTTTTATGGTGATATTGTCATATTAAAAATTTAAATATGGATACAATCATAGCTTTCATTATTACCCAATAATCTTTTTAATTTATATTT